AAGCCGAAGAAGGTGGCGGCGCCGAAGGCAGCGGCGTCGTCGGGTTTGAAGAAGCGCAAGGCGGATGCAGCCCCAAAGGCGGCGGCTGCAAAGAAGGCGACTGGTGATGGCAAGAAGAGGAGATTGTCCGCTGGAGCGACTCTCGCTCCGGCGAAGAAGCTTGGTTCGACTGTTAAGAAAGCGACCGTAGCCGGCATGAAAGCCGCAGGGGCTTCCAAAGCTGCCTCGACGGCGGTGAAGAAAACTCCAGCTGCCGCTGCTGCTAAAAAGACACCAGTGAAGAAGGCAGCTTCATCAAGTAGGGCTACGTCGGGAAGGGCAGTGAGAGCGCGAAAGTAAAGGTGATGAGGAGGTAGAACGATGGGGCTCGCAGTGGGGTGTAGCGGGTTTTCTTTCCCTTTTCTCTTTGCGCTCCTGTTGGACGGCAATAGAATTTGATTCCCTGTTTCGTTATCCGGTTTTGTAGTAATGAGAGCCCCCGGGAGATTACAAGTGGGAGTCTAGATTGATCGTGGGAGATAGAGGTCCAGAACTGGTTGCCTGTCACTCAGTGAGGCGTCGATGAGGAATTACTACGGTGAATGGACGATCTCTTTCGCTCTGTCGGTGGAAGGGAGGGAATCGTCGGTGGAAAGTGCGATTAGTTTGGTGAAAGTCCCGCGCATGGCTGGTGGCACCCTCTCTGTTGTCCCATTTCGCTTGAGAGTAAAGGTCCCAAGCAGATGAACAGACACATGGGTTGGCGGAGAATTCGCTGCGGTGCTCCTGATTGTCGACGGTTGTAGATGATGTTACGCTGAGAGGGTGTCGGCGTGGGTGGGAAACGTTGCCGTGCGAACCCTGATGAGAAAGATGAGGGTTGGTTCGATGGTCGAGTAGCACCCATGAGAGGACAGGTCATGTAGTGGTCGGGATGTCGTGTCGCTACTCGTCGGCGTGGTGAGGAGCGTTAAAGGCTATCTCCACGAGTTGGGAGAGAATACCGAGGGCAGGACAGACAGTATGTTGCCCGCAATTGTGTGTGCACTGCCTCTACGTACGTAGGTAGAAGGGCGCATGACTATCATGCGTGTGCGCATGCGCGAGCGAAGGGTGACGTCCTCTGTGACGATGATATGCAGGCGGTTAGTCTTGTTCTCAGCCTTTAGACAGACCAATTTATGGAGGCGTGTTCTGGATTTCGTCCTCGTTCTTGCATAGTTGTTGGCTCGGGTGGTATCCTTCAAGCTGAACGGAGACTTGCGGTCGCTATTCATTGCCCGACCGGGTCCGGTGCAGCATGGTAGTTATCTGATCGGAAGAATTGGTGGCTACTTCCGATGGGTGTTCAGCGGGGTTGAAGGATTTGTAATTAAATTGTACAGTATAGCGTGAGGCTGATTCTTTTTAACAATAAACCTTTCATCAGCAAGCGTCCTGGTTCCCCTTTCCGGGATGTGGCGGGGAGCTTCTCAAGCGTTCTTGGATTTCAGTTTCCATTCTGAAGAACGTTCTCAAATGACTTTATTTAGCATTATCAATGATGCTTTCCTTATTATTCTTTCCGTTTGGTCTCTCTTTGTGTCGTCATTTGCCTTCTTCCACTTGCCTGAACAGTGAATTTTTCCGACCTGCCCATTTTGTGTTCGGGATCTAATGCCACTCTCCCTAAAAGTCGTCTTTTGCGTGTTGTTGTATTTGTTTGCCGTCCTCGTGGATTGTGCTTGTCGATGATGCCAATCTGTCTTCGGATGCCTTGTAGTTCATTAATTAGTAAGGTCGTTAAAGTAATCCGATTCATCTTTGTTTTTCTATTATTGCGATTGTTTACGGGAGTATGAACCATGTGTTAACAGCCTGCTTTTGCTATCATGTCACATGTGTTAACAGCCTGCTTTTGCTATCATGTCACATGTGTTAACAGCCTGCTTTTGCTATNAACAGCCTGCTTTTGCTATCATGTCACATGTGTTAACAGCCTGCTTTTGCTATCATGTCACATGTGTTAACAGCCTGCTTTTGCTATCATGTCACGTGCTACTGGTTTCTGTATCTCTGTATCTTTTTGGCGGAATCCCAGCACAGCTTCTCGACCCCAGAAGGCCACATCTATAATCAAAATGTGTATGTGGCTCTTATGGAGGATTATTCAGACGAACAAGATCGTTTAAGGGGACATATTCCGTCATTGGAAGGTTTCCTCTGCAACGTAAGGGATGGTTTATGAACTTTTGTGGGGGAATTTCCTCCAGAGGCGCTCGCGCCTTAACTGATTGAACGACTGTCTGACGTTGAAGAGAAAAACGCTAGGAAGGGCACTTGCCTCAGGAAATTGCGGTTTGATAACCACGCTACATGTCGGCGTGGTCAAACAACACGAGCTTGTTTACGCCGTCGGACGTGAACGATACCGGACGGTTTCAATGGGCAATTGCGCATGGACCATGCAAATGTCTAAGCGTGCCCCTGAAGTCAGTGAGGTTCGGTAGCTTGGGTGTGAACCTCTGAACCTGCATCGCATGCACTTGTTCGGGTCGCTGGTGAGGGATTAGTGCGCGACTGGGTTCGTTTTTCAACCCTTGAGCGTGAGCAATGCGAAACGAAAAAGTTTTCCGATCCAATGGGAAATTCAGTAATATCGTTGCTACGAGCAGCAGACTATAGAACCCTTAAACCCCAGGAGGTGGGTGGAGACACGTAGCGCTCGAAAGTCTGGTTGAGAGCTGATGATAGATGGGAAAGTCTAAGATGATTGAAAGCTCGAATAATGATGCCCCGCTCATTCTTTCGTAGCTAGGTCCTCTTCTCGTGGATATTTGACAAGTTTTCGAGACGTAAGGTGATTGCAGAGCGGCGAGATTGCGATATTTAGGAGGTAGGTGATAACCCTTGTCTCTGTCCGAGAACAAAGTGAACTAGATGAGTGTCATGCGTCTTGCGGGGTGTTAGTGTCCACGGTGTGTCTTGATTGCTCTCGCTATTTCTGAGAAGAGGGGAGCGGAGGAGGTGGTAAGGGAAAATTAACCTAACTGCACTGTCCAAGTAGGTAACGCGTATTTGGACTGTTAAGATGTGAAGACACTAACACATGACAACTGATAGTGATTTCATTAACATACCCGAGAAACCCATGGTTGTTTTTTTTAGAAGACTTTTTCGTAGCGGTACTTCAATGGCTAACGGTGCATACCGAGAGGGGATGGTACGAACTCGTATACGCTGCGACGGACAATGGGTGCGTTAGTAGGCGTCCGAAAGTCAGGATTGATTTCACGAGGGAACTTTTTCCGTAACGTATACGTCAAGGACTAGCGATGGCACATGGCACACAGTCCAAACGTTGGTCAAGACGCGGCATATGTAGGAGTAGGGTATCTTTACTCACGCAGAGGATGGGAGAATCAACAGGAGGGAAATGCGCCTAGAGCATCCGCTACAGGAGAGGAGCAGGTGATGTCTGGTGGTTGACCGCAGCAGGGTTGCTTAGGGCATGAGCTACAGCGGAGGACATGTCTTGCTAACTACAAGCGGACAGTTGCACTGTCCTTGCCGCTGTTAATAGTTGCCGCCATTACCTGCGAATGCTAGAATTCTCACAGGAACCTCTATCTCAAGGACTCAAGAGTGGGATACGCAATCTTTTGATGCGTGCACTCCCAACGCTCCAAACCTCTTGTTCGTCGCAGTTGTCTGCACTCTCGAAACAATTAACCAGACAATGAGTTTGATGGGGATTGCCGGCAAATCTCTCAGAATTCACTGATTAGGTGTCAGATATCGGTATCTGGTCAGCAAACCAAAACTACCGCAGACCAGAGATGAAATACAAGTATGTAACTATTCGCCATATCCCTCTCTTTCCCTCGTCAGCGGGCTTCCATTAACTTCGTCAGCTTGAATAAGGTAGTCTCCATCCCGGAGTACTCCATGTATACGGGTCCCTTCTGTCGTCTGTTTCTGTCGATAATGCATGTAGAAATTCCCGAAGATCTGTGCTCGATGATCAGCTTCATTGTTACCAATAAACTCGACCGCGCCATTAATCAAGAGATCCAAATCTCAACCCTGCCCACTTCTCTCTCTCTCTCTCTCTCTCTCTCTCTCTCTCTCTCTCTCTCTCTCTCTCTCTCTCTCTCTCTCTCTCTCTCTCT